TGGTGCAACAAATGAGGCCGCTCATGCTCACTCGCGGTTCTTGCTTTATTAAGTTTCAGGGCCTCCTTAGCCAGAGAGCGTTGCCCACTGTCCTCTGGCGGAAGCTAGCCAGCTGCGCACTGCCCGCCTCGAAGCGACAAGTGGCATTGATGCTGGATCTGCGCTGGCGGTTCCGACGTCTGCTCGCCGCAAATGAAACCCGCAACCGCGCCAAGCTCCTGATGATGGCCAGTTGACGCTGCCTCCGCTACACCGCCAGGGAGCCCCTTTCTTTTCAACCCGCACCAAGCCTTCACTTCAGATATCGACTGACATTGACCCGTGAGGATTCTGCTCAGTTGACTTGGAGAAGCGCTGGAGGCGGGGGAGCGTGGACCAGGAGAGCGCAACGGAGCGGGAGTTTGACAGTTGGAGTGGGAGCGACGGGCATGCGGATGCACGATCGAGGAGAGGAACTTCAGCGGGCACCCAGCAGAATGCCTCCTGGCGCAAGCATTGATGGTGTCGTGTTGGAGTATGCGGAGCGGCCAGTGGTGATTCGCTCAGAGGTGAGGGGCTCGGCAGGCTGGTGGGTTGCCTGCGACCTCAGTGGTTCTCAGACATTTTCTTGGGTTCCTCCTGCTGCAATCTCTGTGATTCTTTTCAGCTTTACTCCCATTCGCGGTCGTTTGCTTGTCAGATTGGAGCACTTCTCGACTTTTTTGATTTGAAGGTGGTCACACAGTGTTGCTTTTGTTCGTCTACCGAAAGAACATCGCTACCTGTTGCCATTGAGTTAGCGTTTCGATAGCTGGTGGTAAAAAGTAAGCTCTGCATTCCTCCACAAGTGATTGGTGCTATGGCCGCTGATATTTATTCTTGCTGGCTTCCTTTGCTCAACACTCGGCTAGAGGCCCAAAGGAGGCTCTCACCGTTCAGTTGCGTCGTTCCCTGCTGATGCTCAACCCTAGTGGAGATGCAACGGCCTCTGTCTGTCGGTAGAGAGCAACTGCGTCTTGTCTGGGCCAGAGTATGAAAGAGTGCTGCAAAACTGCAGAGCGGTCAGTGTTGCCTGGTATGGATCTGCTTTGTCTCCTTGTGCTGTCCGTCAGTCTTGTGTTAGTATTCACTCTACTTCACTTAACCATCAAACAGTCTGACCATCCCTTGACTCAACCTGAAAACGGGTTTGCTCGTTGTATCATCTACCCCTTCTTCTTATCCCTTTGCCAAACTGCACCATTGCTTGCGGCCCTGCAAAAGAGGGGCCGGGAGGCTCACAGTGCGCTAGGATGCTTTGTTGACCGATTGCCTGACCAGTGCAGGACGATCGACACCGCTCGCCGGCATTGCTCCACTGGATGCATGCATCTCGCTTCCAAAGGCCCGATGCACACCGCGCACAGTTGCCGAATCGGACTGGGGCCACCAGGTGGCAGCCGCAAAGGAGATCTTTGACACCATGAAAAGAAGGTAGTGGAGCACAACCAATTTCAATACGACGCGGTAAGGCCTGGTGTCATTGTGTTCGAGTTGGGTTTGCGGGGCTTGGAAAGAAGGCGAAGGTTGATGGATTGTGCTTTGAACGTTGCTTCGTGTTTGTGAAGACAAAGATGGTACGGAGTTGTGGAGCTGTAATGCAGAGTCTCCTTCTGTCAGCTTGCTTCTAAGTTGGACCATTGGTACTTTGGTTAGGGCCTGTAGACATATGTTGCGCTTTCAGATTGTGCGCCGTGTCGAGCAGAGGATCAATGGAGGATTTTCCTTATCTTGCTGCGGATTTTCAGCCTAAAGGCCAAACTTTGCTATATAGCATGAATTGGCTTATCTACTTTCCATTTCACCTCCTCCGAAACCAATGAAACTCATAGGACTTTTTGACGATCATATGCTCCCTCTCCCACTACAGAGGTTGCTGTCGTGAATCAAGCACCGATGTTGCAACCTGATACGCCGCTTCTGGGTTCCAAAACGTGACCTCACATGCATCTGTCCCTCCCCCCCCTACCAGATGATGGCGTGTTACATGCGAAACTTCTCGTCCCTGGGGCGCTGTCGCTGTTCCAGGAGATGGAGGAGCGGGCCCTGCTGCTGGACGCCTATACGTTCAGCAACATGATAAACGCCTGTCAAGGGCAGCCTCGGCCTCGACAGGGCCCTCCAGCTCTTTGACAGGTGAGCCCCAGCTGTTCCCTTTTCACTGAGTATGAGGAATCGGAATGCTTCTGACCTGGTCCGGAAGAGCAGGTGGCTGTTTGGCTACTCGGTGGCCACTTCGCATGTCCCCTTAGGACTCTGCTGCTGCCGTTACTCTGGACGGCTGCTTCAAGCTCTCCTGCCGCTCTTGACACCAACCTGCTCTAGAATCGCACCGGAAACATGGAACGCTTGGCGTTGGCTTTCGAGAGAGCGCTTTCGTTTACCTTTTCTTGAACCACGAGCCGTGGACGGGTCACGGTCCGAGCATCTGGTGGGTCCCCAAACTCGTTTTCAGAGCTGGTCTTCTTTCCCAGCCAGGTCCCAAGAGCTAGGGGCCTCGTACAGTGCTCATTGTCCTGGTCCACGTGGAGTCTGAAAAGCAACCTGACTTTCATCTTTCCGCGGACGGCAGTTGTCATTCCGGCGACGTGTTGCTCTGGCTGTGCTTGCTCTGGGAAGGATGAGTCTCCTTGCACCGATTGCGAGTTGCACACCTGTTCGTCCCCCTGCGCCTGGGCAACAAAGCGACCTGGTTGCCCCCCTGGCTATGCTGCCAAGTTGATTGTCCATCTGCCAAGGGTGCCCCGTCAACATGCAATCTTTCCTTGTCATGTAGGATGGAGCGCTCAGGTCTCAAGGGCGACACGGTCCTCCTCCTGCTTGGGTAACAAAACAAACTTTCATCTGCCTTGTTGCCCGGACAACATGCAAATGTATCCTGTATGGACTTGCTGACGTCACCTTTCTGCTCCCCCAGGCTGGAGCGCTCGGGCCTCGAGGGCGATCTCGTTGTCTACAGCTCCCTTTTCCATGCGTGCATCACGGCCAATTGCGTCGCCAAAGCCGATGTCAGATTTTATGCTGACGTCATTTTTTCAGTCCCCCCAGGATGGAGTGCTCGGGCCTCAGGAGCGACCTGGTCGTCTTCAGCTCCCGCCTCCACGAGTGCGTCGCAGCAAACCGCGTCGCCAGAGTTGTTTTTACGAGTCTGCTGATGTCATGCTGAGGCTGACGTCATTTTTGCGCCACCACACAGGAAAAGAAGAGCGCTCGGTCCTCGAGGGCGACTTCGTCACCTTTAGCGCCCTCCTCCACTCGTGCGTCGCCGCGAACCCCGTCGCTGACGCCGAGCGCGTTCCTTGAAGAAACGGGCAAAGCCGGGCACTCCTTCAACTTGTCCACATCGAAATGATTCAGCTCTACGTGGGGGCTGGGAGTGCGATTGGCCGAGACGCTGTTCTAAAACATGGAGCGCAAGGAGCAGAAGATGGACAAGACGCGATGGATCTGATCAACTAAGTTGCACCTCAGGTTGCGACTTTCGAGCAAGACATCAAGGACGAATATCTCTGGCACCAAGTCAATGGCACATGCAGGCCGGCCGTCTGATATGTGTTCTGTGTACAGGATTGGCATGCACTGGGGCAAACTCGGTGACGTGAATCATTGCATGTGGCTTGATCAACCGAGCGTACTCGTGATTACAATCGATGAAAATGACGTCAGTCACGCTTCACAGTGGTATCCTGACTTATATGTCCCGAAAGACAACGCAGAACTGCCGTGTACGCGCTAGGTTGTGAATGCAAGGCAATCCGAACAAATGTTCCTAACCGCACACAGCCGGCATCACTTTATTCACGCCTGCCACGCGCTATCCAATGCTGCAAATCGGAGTGCCAACTCATCGAGGCCTCTGCTAAAAGATATGCAACTTATACAGACAAATCGACCAATATGAAAGCAAGCATCTAGCGTGCGTCATGACTCATCCATTTCAACAGGATTGAGACTACCTGTTTACATGTTTACTAGCTCCTACAATCACACTTATCAGGTCTGCTGATTATTTAGCATGTTTTGCTACCTTGTTTGCTTCTATTTTCAATGGGGTCCGACTGCTAGAGACTCTTTGTTGCTGATTGACTTAGCGTTGCAGACTGAATGCAAAGTCCAAGCCTATGTAAGCTGCCCATGACCTGCTACGATGACTCATCTGAACGCGGAAGTCTCGGAGATGATTGCAGCCGATCTCACAAGCAGCATTGCATCACATTGGTCTCATCAATTTGCATGAGTACTTATGCAGTGACAAAACCACTGCTCGCCGCACAGTGTTTAAATAAGGCACCGACCTCCTCGATTTTAGACAAATATTCTGCATACCTCCAGCCGTGCCCTCAGGTACTGCAATTACGAGTGCCAAGCATGAAAGTATACATGTTCATTACTTGATTTTTATCTCTTCATTTTCAAGTGCCAGATTGATCCAATCCATGCTGCTTTCAGGAAGTACCACACGACCGTTCCCTATTCTTGCGGCAGTACACGCGGAGGCTTCGTTCACTTGAACCTGCAGCGCCATGATGCACCTATTTATTCGTCAAAAGCCGTGTCACATGATGCAGAACCGAGCTACGAGACCTCAAAAAGGCACCAGGATAGTGCGACAACCTCTTCGCCGGTTGAAAGCAAGCCACGGTGTCTTTTAGATTGCCTACGTTTTCGACTTGACATCCGCAAGCAAATCTGTCAACTGCTCAAGCCTAATCTTTGGCAAACTCATGTCCGGATCCAGCCCGGAGGCCACTCTCAAAAACGGCCAACTCATCATTCGAGCGGCCGCTTGCTCCTCTACTCCGTCGCCCACCGCACAAAATCTCGTCTCTGCATTACCGCCTCCAAAGCGTTCCCGTATCCACTTAAAGCACTGCAACTTTCCGACGACCTTCGAGCTGTACACTGGGTCAAATAAAAAGAAATCAAGTCACTTCTTGGAGAAGGTGAACGGGGTAACGGGGAAGGACTCCCGTACGCTAGAGTGGGTCCGCTGTAATCAGAAAATTGAGGAGCAGAAGAAACTAACGTCTAAGGATATTGCTTGAAGATGGTGGAGAGATTTCTCGCCGTCTATCACTACACCGAGACCAGTCACAGTCAGACCGGATCACGCGATCTCCATTCATCGAGGTGTGAGTTGCATATTCCGATTGGGTTGGAAAACGAGCCAGCAAAGGTCAGCAATCTGCTTAGGCGCAAAGCGCAAACGCCAACAGACGTTAAGGCAAACCGCAGTGAACTCCTGATTTGCTAAAAGAAGACTGCCTTCTGCAGGTTTTGACGATTGGTTAATCAAAGTAAGCCGCGGAATGTGGATGCCAAGCAACATTTCAGCACGACGTTCGAGAGAACGCGACTACACATCCAGGCCAGCTCTTACGTCCGAAAGGGAGGCACTGTGAAGAACAAAGGTCAAACGAGGAAACAGAAAGATACTGGGGATTGCGTCAAACCTGTTACCGGTGGACGCTGTACGTCGCACACTATCTTGCACTAACTCCCTGCTTATAAGGCGTATACTTATGTGTATTATGGCCAAACCCTTGCGAGGGTTTCGATGCGACATAGGCACGGTAGAGGGCACCGTTTGGTCTGTTTGGGCGGTGACTCGGTCCGAAACCGAGGTCAAACCCTTGGTCTCCGGTGGCTTATGGAATTTGACGCTCTTGAGAATATTGCTCGATAGTGTGCGCAGGGCAGCGTCGACCGGTACCAGGTTTGACGTAATCCCCAGTACTTTACGAAGTTCCAGTCTCCGAAGACCAAGACCACTCACCGTTCGCGGGATCAATCCAGGGGTCCAGCCTGAACAGGAGGCACTTCGTGAGCGTCGGGATCAGTTGCCCCGACGAGACGAGCACGACCGTCCGCTTCCCGAGCGGTGGCAACCCGCCTTCACCAGCGCTGTCCGAACCAGGTCCGGCGGTCCGATTCGGGTCGGTCTGTCCGGAGGAGTTCAACCGGGCAGTTGCGCACTCCGCCAATAGTCTCCTGCCTGCGAAGGAAAAAGTATACGGACGTGTTTCTTAAAGCTGGTAATTCTGTTTGGTGGGTACAGAATGAGTTCGTTGATTGAGCGGCTCGGAAGGACGAATGCGCTTGGCAGCCTAGGGCCGCCTGCCTGCGATCACGTAGGTGACAACGAGTGAACGTAGTCGTTTTCCTTTCGTACTTGTGAAGCAGATTGTTCGCGCTTCCGGTTAGAAGAGGGTCCCCTTGTTTGGGAGGCTTCAGAAGTTGCGTGCGCAGCGACCGCTTCTGTAGATGAACGTTCTATATCTCACCGGGGCAATTTGGACAAGCTTTGCAGTAAACCATCCCTGGAATCGTCAGAAACCCGAGAGTCTTAGCCCACGAAAAAAAAAACAGCCAGCAATCTGCTCAGTAGAGGGCGCCAGCCTTCTCTTGCCTTTCGTTACTTTCGTCCGCAATCAAACCGGTACTTGAACGTTCGTCTAATCGTTTAGGAGCGGTTTTTCAACCGTTTGGGAGACTGACGACATTCCTCGAAGGGGTTCCAAAACCAGGGAACGCGGGTACGAGACCTAGTGATCCTCTGCTTCGGGATAGGGCAACGGACGGACAATCTGTTCGCTGGCAAACGCGAAACGCAGGCCAGCAACACGGAACAGATGACAGTTTCGGCCGTACCTGCGAAGAGCCAGCCCTTCGTGAAACGGTCCGTTGCTGCATACAGGCCTTGCCATTCGCCCCGCTTGTCACCCGTCAGCAGGTGCGTCGCCCCCTGCGAAAGAAACAGCTTTGGTTGGCATCGATGACTTCATAGCCTGAGAGGGTGTTTGATACGATTCTCATCTTAAACTTCGTACTGGAAGGAACCACTTGAGAACCTAACATTCTATTGGAGAGGACCACTCCTTTGGAAACGAGACAATTGAACTGACTGGATGAGGGAGGTTGTCCAAAATGGACTACAATCGAGGAACAGGGCAGCTACAACGTCCAAGCAATGGCCGACTTTAGAGCACAGTAAATCAAGGATCCGCGCAACTGTGGTTTTTTCTTGCTTAGTAGCATCCAGAGCACGATAACTGTCCAGTGGACGCCCTTGCATACCTTTGCATAGAGCGCTTGTATGTGGCGGTACAAGTACGCCAGCTTCTGTTTGCCTGCATCAGTGAGAGGCTTTTTGAGGTTTAGCTCCCCGAAATCAAAGTCGTCTAAGCTGGCCCCATCGTCATTCTCTGCAACATGACCGATGGACGGCTGATCAAACTCCTCCACCTGAAGAATGCATAAAAAGAACGTGTTAGTGACTGAACACGTAATTACAGAGCTTCTCAAGTACTCCTAGCGCAAAAGAGAACCACAATTGATCAAGTATTGTTGCGCTTGATTGCAACAGAGAACCCAGTCAGAACTACGTTGCTGATGCAAGTAAGGGCGCGGCTCAAGCTGGTAAAGATGATGTGTGTTCTCCACATCTGTGAAAAGATCCAGGAGATACATGTTTAACCACTTGCAATCGATCCTATCCACGTTACTCTTAGCTTGGTCAGCAACATCTTGCGCCGTTCTTCCAGCTGTGAAACTCATCCACATCAACATGGGAAACGGGACATTGTAAATCGACCGAAGCTGATTTTCAGTTTTAGAGAGCCCTTTTTTGGAGAGTAGGACATCACCTGCTCAAATAACATGGCTGTGTCGCTGATGTCCAGAATGAGCTTCTCCCACTGCTCCCCGAGCTTCAGCGCCTCCGCCCTGCGCTTCTCGTCCAGGCCTTCCAGGTCCGCGTACTTTCCCGTGAGCAGCGACTGGAAGATGATCAGCGTCTCGTCCAAGTCCCACACAAACACTATGCCCGGATCTGTTGCTTCCTCCTGCTTCATTGCGTCAGGCACTTCCAACTTTCTCTTCTTGGTATACTCATTATTTTCCAGTTCTGCCCTAGGGTGTTTCCCAATGGTTGGCATGGCTGCTGTTTCGGGTGGGGCTGTCGGATTGACAAGAGCAGGGGTGCTAAGTGCTGACTGTTGTTGGCTAGGGGGTGGTGCAGTTTGTGAGTACGTCCCTTGGCTCCAGTATGCATTGTAATCAGGATACTGGCTGGACGTTGTCGTAGCTCCCTGGTGGTGGAAAGGCGGGGCATCGGAGACTGGCGGCCAGTAGTATTGGCTAGGTTGTGCTGGAGGGTAGTGAAGGCTGGGTTGAGGTGGGGGGTAGTAAGGGCTCTGTTGTGAAGGGGGATAGTAAGGGCTTTGTTGTGCAGGGGGGTAGGAAGGGCTGGGTTGTGCAGGAGGGTAGTATGCTTGTGAGTAAGGCTGGTGGTAGGCAGCATATGGATCTTGCGGTGGGGGCGGGTACCAGTAGGGCTGTGATTGGTGGGAAGCTGCATGGGTTGCAGCATCCGCGACTTGATGAGTGGTGGTTGGAAACCCCCCCTGCGGATACTGAGGGTAGGGATAGTTCGCCGGAGCAGGCACGCTCGTTTGTGCATGATTGCCAGGATACTGGCCCTGGTACTGATCAGACGCTGGCTGGTGTCCTTGGTTGTAAGCTGGGACGGCATTGTAATCCACGTGTGCTGCAGAAGGCTCTGAGCTGGGGCCAGATGACAATGATGGGTTCGCTGGAGTGTGCCCGGAGACAATTGCTGGTGGCTCAGTCATTCTCAGGCTGTTTGCCGGGCAGGTTCAGCTGGTTGAAGAAACCCAGAAACTTCTACAGGCAACACTCAAAGTCACAATCTTGTTGCACTGCTCTGGAGTCCCTTCATACGAGGAGCTTGTTGTGACGGCACCAAGATTTCTGCGCCCCACTACTTTTAACAGCGGCTTTCTTGCAAACGTCAAATGGTGGCGCTTACCATGCAAGACTCGAGAGCTAATTGAAGGTTTGCAGGCGATCAAGGACCGATCATCCTTTCTTCCTGTTTCTTCCCCCTTCAACGCTGAGTCACAATCGGGTTAATGTAACAAAATGTGCTGACGAATCTGGAACCACGGGTTCACGGCAAAACGGCAACCGTTGACACCCGAGAAATCGAGGGGTTTGGGAACAGGACTTTGGCGGGCGTAGTTTCAAAAATTGGTTAGCACGAGCCTCGCTGCGGCTATGGATGCTCTGCTGCTTCTGATCAAAAGCTGTTGAAAGCATGTAAGCTAGAGCCAGCTAGAGCCGCTGCATGGGAAGCCTGGCAGAAGGCTAGGCTCGAGCGCCCTTGTTCATGTGAAACGGGAAAGCGACTCGTTGATGCAGCTTCGTTGGGCATTGTCGAGAGGACATTCTCCAGGCCTTGTGCCCAACACTTGCCTGCAGCTAAAGAGCCATGCCAGCGCTAGCTTAAGCCCTGTTGATAGCACGCTAGCTGACAGGTCTTGTTGAGCTTGTTCATTGCTTCTGTTTGCTGGGGTTTGCATGAGTAAGGGCCGTCAATTGTGTTAGAACTGTCCTGCAAAGATGAGTACGATAGATAAGATGCTCATTAAGGGCATTCGCAGCTTCAGTCCGGACAACAAAACAGTAATAGAGTTCTACAAACCACTGACTCTGATTGTTGGAGCCAACGGCGCTGGCAAGACGGTGAGCACTTCTAGAAAGTCTTCCTCAATATCTGTGCGGCTCATGCTGCGACTCATCTCTTTCATCTGGTTGTAGATTCCTTTGACATATGGTGGCACACAGTAGACAGCATTGCATGTTCTTTGTCAGCAAACGTTGTAAGAAGAGGCACTATGGACAGTGACAAATTTTAAAGTGGAGGCAATGAAGTCTAGATACGTACTTTTGATCTGGTAGCAAGTCGAGTCTGGTTGCCTTGTCTCCTTTTTGCCCTAGAATTTCTGCCAGGAGATCTTCAGTCAGAGTCTAATGGTATAGATATGACTAATTCCAGCAGGCTGGTTGCATACGTGACTTGTTTCAGACACACAAAGACGCTCAATCTATTGTCAAAACTTTTCCTTGCAGACCATCATTGAGTGCCTCAAGCATGCTTGCACAGGAGAACTGCCACCCAACGCCCGTTCCGGCCACACGTTTGTCCATGACCCTAAAGTGAGTAACACGAAGAGTAGTGCTTTACTGAATGGTGGTGCGCAGTTGTATGACAGCGGGGTTGACCGCTGGTAACAATCATAAATTGATAGTTTGCAGACAGAGTACAATAAGTGCACCTTTGCTTAGGTTACTTGTGAGCCAACCCCTCACTGCCCAGTGCACGTTCACAACTACTGAACTACAAGTGTGGTGGCTTTGTCAGGTTGCAGGAGAGACGGAAACCAAGGGACAGATCAAGCTTCGGTTCAAGACAACAGCTGGTCGCGATGTGGTCTGCATCAGATCTTTCCAGCTCACTCAGAAAGCATCAAAGCTTGAGTACAAGGCAGTGGAGAGTGTGCTTCAGACAATTGATCCTCGATCAGGAGAGGTAAGGTCCTTGAGCCCTGCTGTCCTTGGACTGACGGCCAAGCCTCAAGATCGAGTCGATTGTTCCTCTACCAAGATTGTATCTTCAAAACTCTCCTGTATATATATTCTTCAGAACATGGATGTCTCTGGCTGAGGTTTTTCGAAAGGTCGTCTGGTGTTTCCTTGAATGCCCTCTGCTTCTTTCTCCAATATTGAAATCCTGATTGATCCTTGCAGAAAGTGGCTCTGAGCTATCGTTGCGCCGACATGGACCGCGAGGTGCCATCGCTAATGGGGGTGCCCAAGGCCGTGCTGGAGAACGTGATCTTTGTCCATCAGGACGAGGCTAACTGGCCACTTGCGGAAGCAGCGGTCTTGAAGAAGAAGTTCGACGAGATCTTTTCAGCAACAAGGTGAGGGATTCCCAGCGGTGCGTCAGAACTGATCCGGTGACAACCTGATGGCAGCAGACTGTCTGATCTAGGTCGTTCTTTTCCACAAGAATTTTGCTTGATCATGGATAGTGGCTCGCTGGTCAAGAAAGTCCATATCAAAAAATGGGTGCTCTGCTGGAAAAGAAAACTTCGTATTGTTCTGAAGCATTACGGTCAGCTCACCTCCGTTGTCGCATGCCTTAATGCAAAGCTCTGAAAACGAGCTTCCTGCCTTACAGGTACACGAAAGCTCTTGAAGTAATAAAGAAGCTGCACAAGGAGCAGGCGCAGCAAGTGAAGGAGTACAAGCTGAAATTGGATCATCTTCAAACTCTTAAGGACGCAGCTTTTAAGGTACTGCACAACGTTCCAATTCGCATGATATCATTGAGTTTGAAACTCGTCCTGGCTTCTGGCAAGCGATTGCTACACTCTATCCTAGTTTGAGCCGCTGCCAAGAGGGTTCATCTCCTTTTGAAAGCAATCTGATAGGTATTATACCTAGCTCTGCCGTTTGTGACTGTGAGGCGGGTTTGAATCATGAGCACGTCAACCAGAACTTCTTTTGAATCATGAACCGAAGGGAAAGTCCATTCCTTTTGCAGCTGAACTCAGACATCGACACGGACAACAGCAAGTCGGCGGCCCTCCAATCGAAGATCAAAGAACTGGAGCAGAAGATTGCTGAGCGCCAGAGCAGGATTGACAATATCAAGAGTGCTCTCCGGAAGATGCAAGCGTGGCAGAACGACATCGAAGTGAAGGAAGGGACGCGAGCGGTTCTTGCTAGACAGAGAGATCAGCTGTACAACGCCCTTGAAGAGGAGAGCGACGGTGAGCATCTGGACTCCACCTCGAGGAGGTGAAGTTGACACCGAGTTCTCAGAAACCATGACGTCACTACTGCGCTGATGGAGCACTCTCTCCTGGTTTTGGATGGGGCTCGTTATTGCAATCACGGTAAGAATAAAGTGAAGATGATGGTGAAACAATGTCAGAGTATGTCCAGACTGCTGCCGCCATTGACAATCTCGAAGAAGCCGGCTGACTCTACGTACTTCATTCCCATAATGTCATTCCCATGACATTATGTGTACTCAAGTGAGTCCTCGTGGTCAGTCTAGAATGCCCTTTCCTTTCGCAGAGTCGACCGAGGAATTGAGAACCTTCCAGGAGGACTTTGCGAAGACCGTCGCCGGCATGCGCATCCAGGCGGCGAAGCTGGAGCGGCAGCTGACAGACGCGCAGATGCAGGACCAGAGCGAGAAGGAAAACTTCAACAGGCTGCAGCTGATGAAGGGCAAACTGCAGGCGGAAGCAGAGGTGAACAATCAAAACTTCCCTGGATATCGCCGGGGGATTCAGAATTGTCATGTTTCTTGGAGGTCAATAGGGCGCTTTGTTTTTATTGATCTGGCGTCCAAGCTTGAGACAACCCGAGAGTTCGTTTGTGAGTCGCAAACAAAGCGAACAACGAATGTTCCAAGCATCAAATGTGCCCGTCTCAGGGGTTGACTGTCAGTGCTAAGAAACGAAGGCAGGCTGCGAATTCGATCACGTCTCTGCACCAGAGCATCCGACACGCAGATGGACAAACTTCTTGTCTCCGACTAACCTGACTCGGTGTAAGTGCAGACCTGCAACAACGACAGGCAAGATCGGGACAGGCTCATCCAGGCCTTGGCGGCCAAGCACGGCATTGCTGTCGAAGGGGCCACCCCTTTCCCTGATCAAGCGGCCTCCGCCTTCTTCGACAAAGCACGACAGCAGCTCGAACAGCTACAGCGGAGTCTTCAGCAAATGAAGGTTAGCACCTTGTTGAGAGCGGTTTTCCCTTAGACCTCAACGTTCTGATACGATGGGTTTGAGATCTTAAGGGGCTTCAGGTTGCACTCGATCGTCGCAACCGCAGGCTTTGTGTCAAGCAGACCCGAAAATTGGTTTCACATATATTTTTTTCCCTGGTCGGTTGATACGATGTTGTGTTGGTTTTGCAGGCTGTGAACAAGAGAAGAGACGACGAGCTTACTTCCAACTGGGAGTCCCTCCGTAGCCAATTTCTCAAAGCAGACGGATCCATCAGCCTGAAGATGCAACAAAAGGTAGGACTGAAGGCACTCGCATGGCACGCCAGCTACGGGGTGAAGGCCCGGGTTCTTCTCCATTGCTCCACAAAGCTTCTGCCATCAGTTTCAGTCGGAATTGTCTGCGAGCGTAGTGATCGCAAGCATTTGATATCGACTGTTCACATTGAGAAAGAAAAGTTCCCAACTGTGCAGGCCGACAATGAAGACAAGCTCGAGGGCTTTGGAAGGCTGCTCCAAGATGGACCAGCAATTGAGAGGGCTTTTGAGGAAACTGCGGAGAGGGTAGAAGAATTGGTAAGTCGTCAACCAAAGGAGGTTGAGCAGAAGCAAAAGCACATTGCTTTAGCAGCGCGAGGACTCGCGGAGGCATCGTCCTCGGATGTGAGCACTGTCGAGCTCCTATAGTACAGGGTCTGCTTTAGCAATCCTGCGAGACCACTTATTTCCTACTTTTTTCTTTCGAGGCCGGAAACCGGCTCTCGTTGTCCATGTCACGTCCGCTCAATTCTTCAGCGGCTAATGAATGTTCCCTGTCACCACTTTGAGACGAGACAGCTTTTTCGTCGGGAAGTCCTCGTAATCGAAGCAGAAAAAGGAACGAGCGTCTGTAGCGCTCCTTGTGAGGCCATTCTGCCTCAGCTATAACGTTCCGCTGCTTGTGCGCAGCAAGCGGAATACAACCGGAAAGCGGAGGAGGCGGAGCGCGAGAAGTACGACGAGAAGATACAGGATGTGGACCGAGAGCTGCTGGCCGTGCGGCAGCGAATGGCGGATCTGCAGAAAGAGAAAGACCAGATGAACGCGGAGACGGCGGACCGAGTGCAGCTGCGCATCAAGAAGCAGGACCTACAGGAAAAGGAGAAGAGCTACAAGCAGATGTGAGCAAAGATATGCAAGACTCGCTTCCTCCTCTGCTCCTGTAGTGCCGTTCAATCTTTAAAAACGACCCGTGGATGTCTTGGGCTGTGGCTGCTGCCTGAGAATCAGGCCGTCACCGCTCCCCGTTCTTGAGGGACGACAACGTCGCAATTGAGCTACTCAGTCACTCTTTTGAGCACTCTTTTCCATCCTCGGGATAATGTCTCAATTGAGATTTTAGAACGGAGGCATCTGGCCCTTCACACGTTACTGATCGAATCAAAAGCGTCGATACTTAAGTCGTCTCTTCCTTCGTGCAGCATGAGCGAGCAGCAAGCAAGGCTGAAGAAGGCCTTCCACGGTCGGGTGCCGGAGGCGCCTAGGCTTCTTGCCGAGATGAAGAGCCTAACGAAGTAAGTTGACCACTTGGTATTCCAAGGCCCTGCTAGAATTCAGAAGATGCCTAGAGAAGATATCTGAAAGAACCATTCATGACCAACTGAAGGTCCTTGATCTGCGCTCCATCTCCCTCTGGGTACCGCTCAACTCGTCTCCTTAATGCTTGCCGCGTTTCGGGCACATATGCACGACGCTAAGCTGAGTGTTTGCTTCGCAGCTCCTCTCGGAGCCAGTATGAGGCGGTCAAGCAGAAGTCGGACGACGAGGCCAAGAAGGTGGCAATTCTGGAGGAAAGGCACAGGGCGGCCGCCAAAACCCTGACGACACTTGAGCGGGAGATGGAGAGTGAGGCCGCAGTCTGGGCCTTGAAACCCCCACTCTTACCTAAGATTCCTTGGATCTGCCTTGGAATAAGCGTATCGTAATATCCTTGATGCCTTGGTTGTCGCATGTTGCTCCAATCAAATCATGAAAGTTTCGAGATGGTCGTCGCCGTGTGTTAGCCTGCTCTATTGCCAATCTGGTCGCCTTATATCACGCGCTTCTGAAAAGGCATGGCTGACTGCTCTCCGATCCTCAAACCACTGACCCGAGCGGATTCCGATGCAGGGACGAAGGCTTTCCTTATGTCGAATCTGCGAGGCCTGCTGGACGGCGACTACGAGCTGAACGAGTTCAAGGAGGCCAAGGAAGACACGGAGAAAGACGCGCTGACTGCGAAAGCGTAAGTCCAGCTGATCCTTGGCTGAGAAGAATGAGTGCTTCACCTGCTTCGGGCATAGAAACATTGATAATCATTGAAGAATTGATTCACGCGTTGGCCGCACCTGGACCATGTCGTCTCTCAGAGATATCCGGAGTCAAAGTCCAGCCGAATTCGAGCGGGATAGCGCTTGCTTCATCTCTATGTCTCAAGGAAAAGCTGTGATGCGTGTGGGTTTGCATATGTGATTTTTCAAGACCTCTGCATTGACATGAGGAGCTTGAAACACGGACAGTACCCGCGCTACAGGAATTTTGCTGTCGTGCAAGCGTCGGAGCCTCTATATCAACGCTACATCGACGGAGCAAAGAAGCAACACATCTGCGTCGTCTGCGAGAAGGGTCTGAACTCCAGGGAGGAGATTGCTTTCGTGTCCAAAGTAAGCCGCTCACGCTGCTTGTTATGGTTTTGTCGACCGTTATTAGGCCGTGCGTTTGCCGTGGCGTTGACGACCCGATCGGTGAAGGCGCTATTTACTTGCTCATGTAAGGTTGTAGGTGGTTGTTATCAAAAGGTCGAAGAGTAAGTGCGAAGCTGCGTGTGCAGTGGTTGCGATAGCAGGAGACGAAGAGGTATTGAAAGATCCTGGCAGACAATGTTTTCACGCACGAAATCTACTCGCACCAATCAGAGAAGACCCTTTTCACCAGCACCTGACCCCTTCCACATCAAAATAGAACATACTCTCATCTACTATAACGCGAGAATGAGAAGCGAATGATCAGCGGTTGAACGGTGCAGTGCCAGCGGATGAGGCAGAACGTAAACAGAAATGGTTGATATTACGATGCTCATTGACATAGTAGTGGAAATCCATCTCCGTTTGGCGTGCAGTACGAGAACCAGAAGCGCACGATCGGCGACCAGATGGTGCAATGCCAGCGGATGAGCGAGAACGCGCAGCGCACGCTGGACGCCATCCGGGACCTGGAGCCGCAGTACTTCGCGTTTGCCGACCTTCAGGAGAAGAAGCTGCCGGCGGCCGAAAGAGACGTGCAGAGCATTGAGGCGGAGCTGGAGAAGGCGCGGGAGAAATCAAATGATGTAAGGGAAATTTTGATCATTGAAAAGCGTTAGTAATTTTGGAAACTCACAATTGTAGGATTTTGACATCCATTACTCAAACTGCAGCATTGGGACAAGACCCCTATATCATTATCAAATTCAGGTCGCTGACAAGTGCCGAAGCGCTGCTGCAATCACCCGCGCAATAACCTCCTGAGTACTTAATATTCTGTTCTAGAGACGACTCTGATGACATTATCGTAGCTCAGAAGGACGGTACTCGGCTGCAGAGGGCTCGTTCGTTGCGTCTGAGACGACGAATGGTCTGGGAGGGGCGTTACCCCTTACTCTTGTGTGCTGAGTCTTGCTTTCAACAATTCCAACCTTGTCTTATAGGTTGCTCGCGTGCTTCAAGCAAGACTGTGTACATGCGATCGAACTACGAGACGCTTTGTTTGTGCTAAAGCGGATCCTTCGATGCTTCAAAGTTTGTCACCCGCTGCGTCTCGCACCCCTTTCCGTAGGCCTTAGCCGTCGACGCAGATTATTGTTCGTCCCAAGACTTTTCGGGAGCTTGCGATCAGAGGGCCAATCACTTTCCTCCGCAACCAGCGGGTTATTAAAAGAGCTCGTCCTTCCATACTTCTAAGTAATCGTCCGGAAAGCTTCTTTCTTACGACACCAGGCTGCTCTTGAGCTGGTCAGCGCTGAGGTTGAGTTCCGCAAAGTAAGGAAGCTGGTGGCAATTGCCACAACAAATCACCATCCGGTCCTCTCATGCCAGACTTCCAAGAGATTGACCGTAATCTTGCTCCTCCCTTACAACCCCATGCTGCTTTTGAGCTGCGGTCGAGTTCCAACAAGTGGAGAGGCTTTGAAACTACACGTCAGTTTCCTGAGAAACTGACCGGAAACCTTCGCCTAGGCCTAAAGCCTCTTATTTATACATGGAGCAAAAGAAGGATCAGCTAAACACTTTGCATGTTGACGCATAGAATTGCCTCTCATGATTTCAGGCTGCTTTCGAGCTTAGCAGCACCGAGGTCGAGTTCAAGGAAGTGGAGAAGCTGGAGGGCATTGCCATAACAGTCGTATCCTCCACGCCAAGAATGTCATGTGACTTGAAAACCTTTCTGCTACAGTCCCAGGCCGCTTTCGAGCTGAGCAGTGCCTACGTAGAGTTCTAACGAACTGACCGACAAATCTCTACTCCCTTTCGATCCAGGCTGCTTTGGAGCTGAGCAGTACCGAGGTCGAGTTCAAGGAAGTGGAGAAGCTGGAGGGCATTGCCACAACAGTCGACCGGTTGGTGCAAGAAGCCGCGGCGCTGCAGGACCGAATCAAGGACCAGGAGTTCAAGCTGGAGACGCTCTCCCAGGCGGCGCGCTCGGTTGCCGACATCAACACGGAGCTGGAAAAGCTTGAGGACGACAGGTGATGTCAGCAGCTTAAACGTCAGCAATAAGTCAGCTGCAGACACCAATTGTACCTGGTGCCGTTTTGAGCGTCTTGTTTCTGTCGTGGTTGAGACCGATTTTCTTCGTTCCTGGTGGAGCTCCTGGGCCATCGTTCCCGCAAGTGCTGAGAAGCAGAAACGGTTCTTCCCGTCTGGATGTGGAAGCAGACTTGGGCTTTCTGGTGATTTCCCACCCGTAAACTTGGAAGATCCTCGATAACTAAATTGCTAAAGTCGCAAGCAACGCCGTAAAATCAGGTCGATTGGCAAGACCAACATGGTTGGAGGCGATGATGGCGGAGAAAACATAGGGCGTTATGACCAGTTATGATTGCTCCGCTGCCTCACTTTGTGTGCACTTGAATTCCCAATGTGGGGCGTGCTTTCTTCCTATAGCGCACTTTATGTTCTGGTGCTGGCATCATATGAATCTCGTTTCTGGGAATCCCTGAAATGCTCATGGTTTGGGAGGAGACACCCCCGAAACGTTGCCCGTAAGCGCTTTTTGTAAACACTTGTCGCCTCAGGAGATAACGCCCCTATTTACTTGCTTGAGAGTTCGCAGCGTCAGAGCTCTACCGGTTGGGTTGTTCCGTTCCACGGCGCCGATCCACTCGGCATCGATTACCTGCGGCTGCCCAGTCCAGTTCGTCTGACGGTCGGTTGCTCGGTTGTCCAAAGATCGAAGGTCCATATGTGGTGGAAAGGAAAGAACGAAAAATGCATGAAGAAGCAGGGGTCTTTGTTGTGTTCAGAAGCTGGCGAGGCAACGTGTAGCTTCCTTCTTGATTCTGGTTTTGTCGGTGCAGGGAAACGTTGGAGCGCAAGAGAAAAAGGATCCAGGAGAAGAAAGAGAGGGACAACAGCGAAGTGTCGGCGGCGCAGACCCGCTGGCGCAATGCTCGCGACGAGAGCTTTCAGGCGAACATCCAGAAGAACAGGCTGGACGACGTGCGGAGGCAAAGAGAGGAGACCGAGGCGTCGATCAACAGCCTGGGAATCGAAATACAGGTAGGACAGAAGAGAGGCTGTGCTCGAACAGGTCTCTGCAAATGCGCCGGAAGGAAGCGCTGAATGGTTTGTTGAGTCAATTGAAGGGGGCCGCTTTGCGTGTGGAAGCTCTTATGGAAGAGTGTTTTCTTGGGGAGCTGATAGACTAGGAGAGCCAAAGTATCTCTTCATGAGAAATCCGTCATGTGGTTTGGGATGGTTTTCAAGGATATGGAGGACCGACCCGTAATGGGTATCTAATCCTGGCTGCAAAGAACTCACTTCTAGAAAGTGTTCGCCTGCAGCTTGACGGCATAGCTTCAACGTTGATGAGTTTCCTAACAGCTGCCGCTTTGAACCAGCGGACGCTGTGACAAGAAGAGGCAGGTAGCACTGCACAGCCACAGATCTGGGAGAATCCTTCTCCCAACTATGACATACTTGAGGTAGGATAACGCCGGCTGGCAGAGCGCGGGGGGGAATTGCGCACGGGTGCTCGAGGCGAAGTGGCAGCGCCTCTTCGCCTTTTGGCCATCCTTGACCGATATTTCTTTTACCCATCTCTCCAATGGAACGCAAGGTGACCGCGTCATCTGCTACCAGCACAATCAGGTTGCTGACGAATGTATCCACTGTGCGTGTCTTGATCAATACAGGTGCTGCAACAAAAGCTGGGGCCTCTACAACGGGAGCAGGACGCGTTACTGCGGCATCGGGACACGCACCGCGAGACGGCGCAGCGGGAGGAGGCGGCGGAGGACGAGAAGGGGCGCGCCATGCAGCGGGACGTGGACCAGCTGAGGGCGGTCAATGGGAAGATCTCCAAGTACGTGACTGCGACATCTGCTTTTTGGATCGTGAGATATTCTGGCTGTCTCTTTTGGTCTCGGTGGATGTGGCGCGTAAGAAGAAAGTGGGTTTTTTTGGACGTTGAATCCACAATAAAAAAGCCTTCTTACTTAATATTTGCCGTGGGAAACCCGGTGCGTGTGTTGAACTTCGTAGAATAATCTTTTTCAAAAGGTACACGTACGTCAACTTACGTCAACGCGACCTGGGTTGGTGATGTGCAACGGGCTACTCAAGGTGCATGCGGGATCCTGCATTCCTGTTGAGGAGCTTTCAGTCTGAGGAGAATTGCCGTTTGCTACGAAGTCGCTATTTGTCTAAAGGAAGCATTCTGCCTTGTCGAAGTCATCCTATTAGGTCGAGTAGATCTTACACGTGCACGACGGCGCCTGTCGGTTTACACATTGAGGCAAGTGCTCTGTATGCAAATTTTGGGGTTTGTTGGACTGGAATCTGAGCGGGCGTGTGCCTCTTACTGTATGCTATATGTGCTTCTTGAATTTCTGAGAGGGGCTTAAACCCGGTAAGAGACCCGCCTCAGAGAAGTGATAGCCCGCAGGTTTCCTTCGTCGGCGATGCACGCCGACCAGAGAGTCTTCAACTGAGTAGGGAGAATATACAATCAGACTGAAGGGGGAGGAGGCACAGACTGAAGCAACGAGACACCCGCATCAGCCCGGCTATCTACCGACGTCCGTTTGCCACGCAAGCTCGGCAGATTCTTGAAAACATTCATGTTCTATAGGTACCTTTTGGCTGGGGGCGAGACGAGGTTGCGAGAGACGCTGGAGAAGATCACGCGGTGCGTCGCCAACCAGAAAGCGTACGAGGAGACGATCTCGGAGCTCGGGGAGAAGCTCAAAGAGTTGAACAAGCAGGTAGGAAATCCACACCTTGGTCGAATCTTAATGGTATCCTCTTCGCCGACTCTAGGCTGTGTATTCTTTTCTGTGGGAAGAGCTGTGCTTAAATCGATCTTGTAAGTCGATTTCGTTGATACTTTCATCAACTCTGATGCTAGCCAGTGGCGTTAGAGAGCGGACTAAATAGAGTCAGGTCCTGGACGTGACGGATCCCTTTGAACCGCTCGTTCCACTGCAAGCGGCTACCTTGGCACGTCACACGACGCCCCCGCTAAGTCCTGTTCTAACATGATTTTCTGTCCTGTTTGTCTCATTGTCGACTAGATGAAAAGCGTCTGTTGTCGCGCATGTATTTTCCCGTACCTGAAAGATACTCGAGGAGAGAACTGAGAAATACCTTTCGCCAGTGTTACTCAAGGCCCACCCGTCTTTTCGTCTTTAGGTGCAAACGCAACATCGACGACAACCTGAACTACCCTTTTTCCTAGCGTTATCTCTGATCCTTTTCTAACACAATTCCATTCGGGACAACGGAAGTTTACGTTGTCTGTGTTTCTTATCGATTTGCAGGTGCAAGTTTACGTTGTCTGTGTTTCTTATCGTTTTGCAGGTGCAAGCGCAGGACACGATCAACCGCAACATCGACGACAACCTGAACCACCGGTCGGTGTTGGATCATGTTTTTTTTCAAGACCCTAAAAGGAAACCTTTAAACCCCTGACTAAACAAAAGACGTTCAAACCCCACCTGTCTTCGCAAAACGCAGGTACAAGCGCAGGACACGATCAAGCGCAACATCGACGACAACCTGAACAACTGGTCGGTGCTAGATCGTTCGTCAGAATGTAATTACTGAAATACGAAAAAGTTAGTTTCTAAACTTCTAACAAAGGTTCGGAACCTACTTGTCTCTCCTCAGCGCAGGTGCAAGCCCAGGGCACTATCAAGCGCAACATCGACGACCTGAACTCGTTTGGTGGTGGGTTCACTATACAAAAGATGTTCTCTCAAAGCTTAAAATAAAGACAGGAATATTTTGAGACACGAAGCTCCTAAATGATACATAAAACCCACCTACCTTTTGTTTCCAGGTGCAAGCGCAGGACACGATCAAGCGCAACATCGACGACAACCTGAACTACCGGTCGGTGCGTGACGAGGAGCGGCGGCTGGCCTCGGAGATCGACGAGCTGCAACAGAAGGTGGTGGCGGCTGGGGACGACACCGGGCTCACCGAGGAGATCAACCGAGGGCAGAGTGATCGGGACACCATGAATGATGAGGTAAGATTTTTGTCATTCTGGAAGCTGAGATTTCAGGTTTGCGGTTTCGAAAAGTTGGAAAAAGAGACAGTAGGTCGGATTCAACGAAGCCATGTGCACTGGAAGAACGTGAGTTGCAAAAAAGAGACGTAAGAGTGAGTCCGTTGAATTTACTCAGGGGCAGAGCGAAGGGACACCATAAAAACGATGAGCTGAGGCCCGCTTCGAGTCACAGTTTCTTTCTGAATCGCGTTTCGACAGTTGGAAAGACAGAGACAACAGTCGAACGATGTTATCTTGGATGTAAAAGAGATGTCAACGTCATGGAAGGATGCGACGACGGAAGAAGAGCGAAGGGATAGGATGGGCTTAGTTTAGCTCGAGTCAAGAACATGCTGGAAGAAGAGTTCAGAGGCGGGCCGCAGCTTCTCGTTCTGACCGTCGGCCGTACTTTCTGGTCGCACTTGCACGTGGCCTGAGAACTCACTGAACGAACGCAGTATTGAAAATGGAAGCATCAAATACGTGCAGGCGAACCGGTTGCGGGGGACGGTGTCCGCTTACGAGGGCAACATCAAGCGGAACCGGACGGAGCTCAAGGACCCCCGGTACGCCGACATCGAGAACCGGTACCGCAACCAGCTGATCCAGCTCAAGACGACGGAGATGGCCAACAAGGACCTGGACAAGTACTACCACGCACTTGACAAGTGAGGCCGCCACACTGCTCGGCACCCTTGTTGCATTTTCTCCGGCAAGATTGCGCTCGACTCTTAGTTCTAGATTCAACCCGAAAAGCCGTTCTCGGTATGTTCTGCGTCAGCTTTTTCTATTGATTGTAGAACGATTCAAAGACGGAATATAGCATCAAACGGCTTTCGCTTAGAAACAGCGCACCCGAAACGCCAGACTCGCACCAACGGCACAGGCCGGAAATTCAAGTGCTTTGAGCGCATGCCAAAATGCTTCTGCAAACTGATTCTCGACCAGTAGAGAGGACAAGTAGTGCCAGGTTTTTCCGGTGGGCGTCAGAAAGGGTGCTTGAGTGGGGAGTCGCCCAGGCGGAGAGCATTGTACAAGTGTCCTTGCAGGTGACGAAAGCCCCTGCGCTTCTTTGCAAGTCCTAACTGGCCTCTAGAAAGATCTCCGTTTGGCAATACTTTACCAAGCTTTGTTGGTCCCGACCTCTGGTGTACGGGAGCTGCAGATTTTTAATTCGCTTCTTCGCGCTTATGCGGTTGCCTCCGATTACAGGGCGCTGATGCGTTTCCACTCGATGAAGATGGAGGAGATCAACAAGATCATCAAGGAGCTGTGGCAGCAAACGTACCGCGGACAGGACATCGACTACATTGAGATACGGTCGGACGCCGAAACGACGTCCAGCGCGCGCTCGTATGCGTACAGGGTGAGGATCGTGCCGTCCCTCAAGGAGACAATTGTCTGCTTCTCTCTAATGTCAACACGATTCCCGCACACGTCCATACAGGGTCCCGTTACGCTTGAGCAGGCAGGAAGGATTGGGCAACAACACGATTGGAGACAGGAAAGAAGGGAAGCCTCTGTCTTGCGAAAGTCAGGAACAGACAGAAGGCATCACGTCTTCTTGTCTTCGACAAACGGAGCGGGAAGAGGAGCTTGTCTTTCTTGAGGGAGGGAAGGGAAGCGGACTTGGAAATCTGGCTCCATTTAAAACCCATTACACAACTTCAGGATGCAATCTGTTTTCCGTGATTCGGCGGTATTCGATCAGTAGTCTGCTCTCGAATGAGGTTTGTCCACTCTGCCCGCTTTTCACGGTGAGCTGATTAGTATGTTGGTCTAGAACTTACTTTGTCAGAGGTGATTGCGTCTTATACTTTGTCTATATCTCTGCCAGGTCGTCATGAGGAGCGGTGATGCGGAGCTGGACATGAGGGGACGTTGCAGTGCAGGCCAAAAGGTGATGACGCACCATCCTAGTAGTCCGAGAAATTACTTGCTCTGTTGGCATCGTTGCTTATGTCCGTTTCTCTATGGCACCGTGCTCTGACCCTCCAGGCAGGATCGACCCACCAGGCGGGAATAGATACGGACTCCGTGCAGATGCATATGAATGGATGATGAAGAGTTGCTGCCTCCCAGTCTGCAACTCTTAGAGGATTTGGTAGACTCAGATTCCGAAAGTTACCTAGTCCGTCGCCCTTTTTTGTGACATAGCGCATTAGGGGAGATCCCTTTCAGCCGTCGAATCCCGTAGATTCGCTTTGATCAGGTTCAACACTCCGGACGGTTTCGACACAAGTAACTTGCTGATGGCCTAGTCTTTTCTCACCGCCCGCAGGTGCTGGCGTCGCTGGTCATTCGGCTGGCCCTTGCCGAGACCTTCTGCCTCAACTGCGGCATCCTGGCCCTCGATGAGCCGACGACGAACCTGGACACGCCCAACGCGGAGAGCTTGGCAGGGGCCCTCTCCAGGTACGGGATTTGAAATCACGGATGGTCAGAAGAAGTCTGCTAAGCGGGGGTAGCCTACAAGATAGGCAGGGTGAAGTAAAAGCAAGGGCAGCGCTAGCTGGTCTTAACGTATGGATTTGGGTCTCCTATCCTGAGATCTTTTTCTCGGTCGTCCGCAATCTCGACAAGTACGAGCATCGTCGGCGCTGTTGATCACTTTAAGACGCTCGATTCCATTTGTCATATTGTCTGGTCTCAACCCTGATGTTTCAGTTCCATTTCTGCTGACCCACCTTCTGTTTGGTTTGCCAGGATCATGCAAGACCGAAAGACGCAGCAGAACTTCCAGCTAATCGTCATCACGCACGATGAACGATTCGCCCAGCTGATTGGCCATCGCGAGTACGCCGAGAAATACTACCGGATATCCAAGAACGAGCAGTGAGCAGCTTATTTTGTCTTCGCGCTATTCGACTGAAGGAAAGCTGGTGCTGCTGATTAGCTGCACCCGGAAAATGAAATTATCGGTGAAAGAATTATTTCGTCGCACTCGAGCTCGTCGCAATTTTGTTGTTTCGCCCGGACTAAATCGCTCGTGGTGGGCCGCATGATCCCGTGTAGAACTGCTTCAAATTTTTGAAAGCTCCTGACCTGGATCTTGTCTCTGATTACAGCCAACATAGCCACATCGAGGTCCAAGACATCTTTGACTAGCCGTTCGAGGACGGCAGACTAGTCTCTGCTGCAAGCGTAGGTCTATAGGTCGTGCAAGGAGAGGAGATACGTGTACATATTGAGCTAGAGACAGTTGAAAGGAAACAGCGAAAGTTGCAGTGATGAATGGTGTCGTGCCAACTTGCAAAAGGCTGGAGTTGAGTCAGGTTGTTCAACAGCTTGTACTGAAAGATACGTTGTCATCAATGTTCTGTGCTTGTGTTGGCTTCCTGAGCTGTTGACAAATGACGAAGATTTGCTGATTTTTGGCACGCCACAGTGTTCTGGCACCATATTTGAATCTGCATATCCGTTTTAGAAACGCAATCGATCGCATTGCAATCAGGCAGCGAGAAGGGTCCCTATTAATGCGTATGTACGTATTCACATGTTAGCTTATCGACTGCATGCATGGGCGCATGACACGTACGTGGACAATTGTGACAATTCGTTTCCAACAATCACCAGAAGTCATTAGGTCAAATGACCATGATTGCATGCCCGGCACCATGCCGGCTGGTATGTACCAGAAACCTGTGCGGTGGCGTCATCTGTTTGGCGCGCGCATGCATGCACCATGCCTCATTTTGTACGACATCGTGGCCGATCGATTACAATACCTATATATAAGTTAGTGTGGCCGCCATGGATGCACATACATCCGCCAGTGACGGGAGAAAACTCTATAAGCACGCACGGAACAGTGCGCAGACATGATGCCCATGGACCAGGTGGTTGTGCCTATGCATAAATTTGCAGTTTACACTGGGCCTTCGCAATTGTGACTCCAATCATCGACACTCACAGAGTCAGAGGCGCTGGATAAACAATCCAAAGGAGGCTCAATCTTAGCATACGCAACACGCTGCCAACCATAAGAGGAGTTTGGCCTCACAATTTGATCAATATACACTCTGTGGTCAAGCCTGACACTCTCAAGTTGGACACTTTATTATCGTCAATCATCACGCACCCCCGTGCCCCGCTATAGGTCGCTCGCCTTCTTCCGGAGCTCGTTCAGCTCCGCCTCTATCTCAAGATCCTTAACCGACGTCTTCCCGGGCGTACTTTGGCCCCCAGGGAGGGCCCCCCGTGTTTGCGTCGTCCCCAGCCCCGACATCTCCCGCTTCAACGCTTCCAGGTCTGTGTCCACATCTGAGCTCTCGAGCAGCGCGAATTTGGCGCTCAGGTCGTCAGTCCCGAGCTGCGCGACCGCGTCTGACTCCGCCTCCAGCGCCATCACCTTCTCCTCCATCTTCTCGAATGCGGCCATCGCGCTGCTCGTGTTGACGTTGCCCAGCATTTCCTGCCATAAGCAAAAGTCCGCACTCAGCTTTCTTGGCTTTTACAGCTTTCTTGGCTTTTACTTGATAGGGAATTCTTCAGATCGTCATCTGAGACGAGCAAAACGGGTCTTTTGAAGGACTGAGACGAGCGGAATGGAGTGTTTCAGATACTGACAAGGAAGCCATTGACTTCAATGCATACCCGAATTTCTTTGCTGAACGCAAGGTTAACATCGTTTGCATCCTCTCTGGCCTTGTCAGGCCTTGTCTGTCTTCCTGATTCGTATTCACCAACTAAACCTTGAATCAGTAGTAGAAAACGCCAACAAGCCATAGCGTCTTCCCTACCTTCCATTCCAAAGAAGTCCTCAATCAAGTCTCAAACAAGGATAGAGAGAAGGTTTTGAAGTTTTGGAACCCTTCTCCAATCGACACTAAAGGGGAAATTTTAGATTTCGGGACACCTTCTCCAACCAAAACAGAAGAGACCATCTTCAAGTTTGAGACCCCCAGACAATCCTATAAGAGTCCAAACAAAAGACAATCAAACAGAAGTCCCAAAATTCTGTTCTTTTCTAGGGAATATTTTTTCCAACCCACCTGCACCTTCTGGCTCGTCTTGGCACTCTGTGCGCGCGCCTTGAGCGTGTCCTTCTTGCTCTTGGCCTCGCTGATCTTGCTCTCCAGCAGCCGCGTGTTGGAGATCAGCTTATCCACCACGCCCTTCTGCGCATCGAGCTGCGCTTTCAGCGCGTTCGCATTCTCCTCGTAATCCTTCTTCTTCTTCAGCGCCTCCTTTGCAAGCTCCTCTTGCCCCTTTTGCAGCGCCAACTTTGCGCGTCGCAGCCAATCGTCGGCGTTGCTCTGCGCCTGCTTGTACCGCTGCTCTAGTTGCTTCTGGGACGCCAGCACCTGGAGGGAGAAGAGTGTGACCCACAATCAGCATTAACTCAGGAGCTTTTTACTGCGGCTCAGTTAGTGTTCTTGCCCATGTACTTCGTTATGGGGGGACTGGAATGTGCCAGAACTAAAGTGACGCCCGCCCCTGGGGAAGGGCAGAGGCAGGAGACATCAGCTAGCCGGCGATCGGCTACGTACTCGGCTACGTACAATATCTCCTAAAGAGGCAGAGTCCGACACTACTGTAGTTGCACTTTAATATACTAGGACCTGCGCGGCTCTAATAAGCAAAGACTCAGGTCTCAGACATGGCAGAGGCTGGAACTTCCTGGCGCCAGCAGTGTGTGTGGTGAATGGAGACAGAGGAATTCTGCTTTTGGGAATTCCCCACCAGTGCTGCTCTCTGGCATCTTAGTCATCTTCGTCAGCATGTATGACGAGAAACTGGATAAACATCTTCGCCGTTAGCACGTGCTGGAAGGAAGCGGTGGCGACTGTGATATAGACCTTGTTTGCAATACTTGATTCCTCGAGTCGATGTTAATCTCCCTTCTTGACCTGAATGAACTTCTTCTTCAACCATACTCCCAAAGGCCTCAAGCGCAAGCAACTGATATCTATCAGATTCTGCTTTCCCCAGGACCCTCAGTACACAATCTAGAACCATCCAGGACCTCCAGTATACACTTTACTAGCATCTATCGCAACTGATTGCCGTACGACATGTCTAGCTGCAGAAAGTGCTCCATTCAACACTCAACCAGGCTTTGCAGGGCCTGCGTTTGACTCACACCGAACTCTACAGAAAACAAAATTAAAAGACATTGAACAAATGAAACCTTGACCTTCTAGAGATGGTGTGACCTTCTAGAGATGGTGTGACCGGTATATAGAAGACAAGTCAATCTCTCTCAACATACTTGACGGTAGTATGCTGTGACGCAAAGGTTTGCAGTGTCCTAATCGAACATTGAATCTCCAATACATGGTCTGTACTTGTTGAGCAGCTCCCAACAACCGCCAATGAAACGCCACTGATGGCATTCTCTAACCTCAAAATTCTTCACAGACTGCACCTACATGACAAACCTAGTGCACCAATTGCCGCAGCAAGGTAAATCTGTTGCAACAGAATACAGACTCCACAGCTACCAGCTTTCAAAAGCAATATAAACACAATCAACGCAATCGAGCAAGAAAGTTGCTTGTCGCAGTTTCATGTTGTCAGCAAAACCCTAGTTTGCCGATGTTCACCATACACAGCCAAATGTATTCCACTTTGAAGAACTTTACAACAAACTCATGCCACCTGACACATCAGCCGTACACAGACCCCTTAAATAGAACAAGGAAGAAGCAATGCTGTTCAAACAAACCGGGCCGCAGGAAGCTCAGCCTCCAGGATACTAAGCAACAAAAATCTTGCCAAGCATCTGCTTGGAAAACAAGACGCTAATTGTAGAAAAACTGGCGGCAAATCTGTAAGGCGACCCCGTAAAAGCTTGGAAAGAGGAATAAAAACAGAATGAAGCGACGAAAAAGCAGCAAACTTGAACATGCCCTCTAAACCGTAAATATCGCTCCTAAAGAGGTGCTTCTAGTTTCGCTCTTGAAGGGGTCCTTCCAGAACTGAGCAGATCTGCAACCTCACCTGTGCCGATGCTTGCCTCATCTTCGCAAGGTCCTCCCCCATCTCAATCACAGTCTGGTCCAACAGCTTCTCAGGGTCCTCCGCTGAGCTCACAACAGCATTGGCATACGACTTGACAATCCTGACAATCCTGCCGAACAGATTCGCCTCCACTACTAGCGCCCCACCCCTGCTCCCATGCTCTCCTTGTACCCCCCTAGCCGGAATAGCCAGCGCCTGCGACGAAGCCCCACCATCCAAGAAAGCACTGCTGGTTTTCACAGCCAAAAGGCTGCTCCCAGAAGAGCCAAATCTAGTAGTCCGCCTGGCAGGCAGAGCCACCTGAGTGTTTGAAGGATGATAAGCTATGCTGCAGCCGCCCAAGGCGAGCGCGGAGCCCAATGCCGCTCTGCTGGCCAACGCCGAGGACGCCATGGTGCAATGGAGCAGCGGCGAATCGCGGGGTCTGCACTCTGCGTTTCCTGCTTCTCAGCTAGCCCTCTCTACAGCTCCTCTATTCACAAAAGCCCCCAGTCCCTCTTCCACCTTTTGAGCAGCTGCCTTGCTAGATCTGTGGTCTTCCGCTGTTCCTTGCCAACTGGACTTCTAGAAGAAGGACCTCAGCCGACTTTGGCTCTGCTGATTGGGCCACGTCAAACTCTGGGTTGCGGAACCAGCCCTGAAGACACCGTGGTTACACCGTCCATTTTCAGCTTCATGTCGGGGTTTAATGACTGGTGTCGGAACTGTGTGAAACGGCGAAAAGTGCAGACCAGCAATTCTGAGACATTTAATCTGCAGGTAACATTTTCTGTTGGGTTTTCTAGAGCACTTTCTCTAGCCTCTGCAGGGCTTTTGTACAGCTTTTGCTGGCTTTTACCGATGGAGCACCCAATCTGATGCCCCAGGCCCTTCTTTCTCAGGGCCTCGATTGTGGTGTAGCTGTAGGATTTTGGCTCTTAACCAGGAGTCTCCACTTGCGTGGAGAGCTGTCGCGCAATTGCCACTCATCAGTGAAAGTGTCTGAAGTTTCAGAAAGGTCTTCGCTGCAGTGGTGGCGTCCAGAACAGTTTTTGCAATGACGCCTTTGCTGAGTACCCCTGCTGCAGGAAGGTCAGTGATCAGGCTGACCGACAGATCTGAAAAACGAAGGGAAAGAAGGGGCCGATGATTTCTGATGGTGGTATGAAGGTGGAAAAGTTCCTCTTGAAAGGATTCATTTATACATCATTTAAAGCAGCCGCATTCGCGACTGACCTCAATCCCTGCAGCCAATAATTTCCAATTGTCTAGCGGCCTCACAAAAAGCATGATGTGGTGCGTACCAGATACGCACTCCTCGTCGATTGCAGTGGTGGGAGAAGTCTGTTGATGCTCTGCTGCGTGTGCCATTCTGATTCAAACAATTGGTCGATGTTCATCTTTGAAGTCCCAAACTCATTGAAAATGTGGACCCTCCAACAGATGCCTGCGGACAATTGGAACACTTCTTCACAACCAGCAAAGTGCTCTAATGCCACAGGTGAGCCATCACCTCTGTAGCAGCATCATTTCATCAAATGTGCCATTGTATCAATCTTGCCTCTTAAGAAGAAGCGGATCGCAGCGGTGGTCCCCTCAAGCATGGGGTTCGTTGCCACACATGAGTAAGAAGTTTTGCCTCAAATGTGAGTTTCTCAGTAATCAGAGATCTGTCTGTCGCACAATCAGAGTCCCATAATGCAAAGTTATGTATCTAAGCAGCTCAAATTTATCCCGTTTGACCAAAGAATTTAAACAGGCATTGGAAGTTACTTGTTCAAAAGATCGTCAGACCATTAAGAGATCTGTGTGCCCCCCTGCAGCTGTGGACCGCGTCAAGGGCGCTGAGCACCGGAACTGGTCAAGACCAGTACGATGTTGTGGTGGTCGGGGGCGGGATGGTCGGAGCGGCACTCGCATGCGCGCTTGGTGAGAATGTCTACCCTGCCCCTTTGTTCGGTGCGCCCGCCTCGTTTGCATAATTTGTACTCCTTCAGACCATGGATCTTAGATTTCTGCCCTTTACATCCCTTTCGAAGTGGCTTGCAGCCAGATTATGTTGCCCTCCAAGCCTGGGCTGCTTTCATCATTGTGTCACTCTTCAATGCACCAGGTGGAGCCGGCTGATCCCCCTGTGCCGGCTGGAACCATTCCACCAATAATCTGACTTTCGGCAGCTTCAGATCAACAACTTCAAAGGGCTTGCTATTTCTACAGGATCATCGCCCATGACTTCAGCCCTGCGAGTTGCGGTGGTCGACGGCCAGGCTATAGATCCAGCCGCCCCCCTCCCAGATGCATCTGAAGCGCCAGAGATCCGAGTCAGCGCTGTCACGCCCTCCAGCGTGAATTTGTTCAGAGGTGCAGCATCTTCTTACCGTACTGCCAATCCCAGTCACTCTCCGCTGTTGCAAATACTTTTTCTTCAAAGAAATTCCGTTTTCGAACCGGCTTCGTTAATCTTTGAAATTCTGGCAAAAGACCAATCTTTCGTTCTTCCCCACTCAAAATAACCACGAATGCGTCTTCTTAGATTTCTTACTTTGCATTCTCGCACCTCGGTCGTAGGTTTTATTTCTTTCTTTTTTCTTTCAGTGAGAATGGCTACTTGATTCCTAAAACGAGGATTCGTAAGATTCATCGACTGTTGAAACGTGGAAGCTGTTGGGCTTTAAGGCATGATGGGACTTCTTGGAACATTGGACCATCGCGGAGCAAACTGCATACTCCTTGGCTCTCTCGCGGCGTCCCTGGTTGTACAGGACATGGCCCTACCTATCCTCTGAGTCAGCCTAACGAACAGAAAAACGCTTTCTCACAAGTGCCTTTTTATTCTTCGTTTGGTGCAGATGTTGGGGCATGGAGCACGGTACAGTCAGCTAGGAACGCTCCGTTTGACACCATGCAGGTAAGATTGGGCGACTTTGATACGGTCGAGTGCAACGTAATGAGTGCCGAAGGTAGAGAAACCGTTCTGCAGAGAAGACGTGTCCTTCCAGGGCTGTCGAGGATGTCCTCTTCGTTTTTGATCATAATTGATTCGGTTAAACGTGTGAGGAACGAACGGGTTTCGCCTCAAAGTACTGCGTCTCTATGACGAAACGATGGGCACAAAAGGACGGCTTTGGTGACACGATGTAGTTTCTTTCCAAGGGATGAGCATAGAGCTGTCATTTCAAAACGAGGTTCGTCCTTGTAGCAGAAGGTTATGTTTACTCAAGGTGGGTCTATCCCTTTTGATCACTGAAGGCATCTGCCTTTCTGTTCCAGGTGTGGGACAGCGCCGGCCAGGGCTTTGTGCGCTACAGCGCACACGACGTAGACGCATCTGTTCTGGGGTAAGCTCCATCTCGTCCTGAGTGAACGTCGTTTGTGTTTCTCCTTTTGCCGGTTACAAGCTTGAGTGGAGTACTCAACTATACGTCCACACGTCTTGCCTCAATGGTTCAGCTGTTTCCGGTATTGCTGGCAGTTGACGTCCATTGTCCAATTCAAAAATAACATTCTTGAGAGGCCTGAGGGCCTGTCAGATTCCTGTGATATCAAGGACCCATCGGTTTTCTGGTTTGTATGCTACTCAACTCACACACTTTGCTCTTACACCTCTGGCGCTTGTTGAGGGGACAATCGAGAGTGCATCATCGGTAAGAGTTGCAGAACCAGCAGGGATGTGTCTTAGGCCTGATGGTTCCGTTTGCATTCCCCGTCACCCATCTAAAAAGGGCACTGCATTTTGACTCCTTCGATTGAGACTTGATTTTCTTTTGCATGTCAACGGACGTGTCAACGGAGAGACAAATTTCTGGGCATTGTTCCAAAGTCTTTCGCGGAAACCGCTCCTGCCAATCTGCAATGACCTTCCGTGGATTTTACAAATGCGTTTGGACACTGAAGCTCTTTGTGGAACCACGTGTCTTGCCCGTCGCCAATACATGAGCAACGGATATCTCATATAAGCTTTACAGCAACCCGGCAGTGTAACGGTCCGAGACCAGATTCTGGCCATGTGAATGTCCCCTTTCTTTCCTCAGCCACGTGGTTGAGAACCGGGTCCTTCTAGCCGCGCTCCACCGCCGGCTTAGCGAGAGTGAAAATACGCACCTGGTGTGCCCGGCCAAAGTGGACTCGATTACGTGGCCCGAGAGTGAGGTGTCGGAGTCGGATGCGGACGTCCGACGAGAGAGTAACGGACAGGCGGAGGCGTCAGGACAGGGGGCGGGAGCTAGCGTGCATCTGAGCACTGGGAAAACATTGGGGGCGCGACTAGTGGTGAGAATACGCTCCAGTGGCTTTTGGGTTGACTTCGAGACTGTGGCCCATAGCAATCGAAAGCTACGAGCGATTGTGTGAGTGTTGCCTCTTCTCTTGGTGGGATTTTGGGGAAGACGTGATGAGTACTGCTATTGGTGCAGCATGCTAGAGTTGCGCAAGTCGCGTCGTTTGAAGCCCTTTGCTGTTTGTTCCTCCCGTCGCTCAACGTGCTCGGGGCTCTTGGCTTCGGGAGGGCAATCAAAAGCGATGTTGCTTAGGTTCAGATTTCATGTTGACCAAGGGCATGTTGACTAAGAAAACACAGCACGGGTAGGGTTGGTTTGGGGGTTGGGGTGGGTACGGGTGCGGAGCGTGTGTCATTTATTGGTCTAGGTTTTTGGAATAGTTCGTGCCCGAGCACGATCCTTAGTCAACATGCGCTTAGTCAACATGAAATCGAGAAAAATCGATGCTGCGGCCCGATTCATTGTGGCCCAAGGTTTGGACGGACAGATTGCGGTCCGGTATGGCCTTGGAGTATTCAAGTTGTCTTTGCTTGAAGTTCCGGGCCTGACTATCTGAGTGTAGATTTTTATGCAGTCGTTTCGGGCGTCGAAAAGTTGCTTCGTCGACGAGAGTCGTATCATTTTGATATCTGCTCGCCTTCATTTCTTGTTGGAAAGCACCCTCAAAGTATCAATTCGATCACACGTAATGAAACAGAGGCCCAAAGAGATAAAAGCGGGGATGTCGTTGATCTTTGTTAGCAAAGATGTAACCAAGAATAACGCAGACAAACCAAGTCTATTTTTCACAACTTGTTGAACGCCGGTTATCTTGACCGCAGGTGGGTGCGGACGGCGGCCGATCGAGGGTGCGCTCTCTCGCCGGGTTACGAACGGTCGGATGGCAGTACGGTCAGCGAGGCCTTGTGGCAACGGTAGTGACAGACAGGGAACATAGCACCGCCTGGCAACGCTTCCTGCCAACAGGGCCCTTAGCACTGCTTCCGGTGAGCAAGGAAAAAATCGTTGGCGCCCGGCTGTTTGAGCTTCTCAACGTCCATGCTTCAGAATTTCGTTCGTGTGCGTTGGTCTGCTTCTGCAAGGCTCGTTACAAGTGGAATCCCGTATATGTTCAGCTGCTCTTGGAATTGGCCTTTCAAGCTGTCGAAAAGTAGCGAAGAGGTTGCCGTATGACGTACGGTGATAAGTTCTTCGACATCGGCTGATGATTATCACAATATTTGAGATATCTGAAATCGGCAAGCCAAGCGGCCCCTTGTCGAGTTAGGGTTTTGGTCACCAAAGATTGATATGTGCAGCTCGGTGCAGGCTTTGCAAGTAATCAGAAAATCTCTGCGGCCTGAAGCCATCTCTAGATTGAGCACGGTGTTACCAATAAGAAATTCTGCATTGTGAGATCAGATACTGTTGATCCTACCCCGCTCTACTAATCCGTTTTCAGTACATAACCAGCCTTTTTCTAAAGTGTCCGTTCATATCATCGACTTCCTGACGTCATCGTCCAGATGGGCGGCCACTACAGCAACATCGTATGGTCGACGACCGAGTCCCACGCCCGCGCTCTAGAATCGATGCCGCACTCCGACTTCGCCGCTGCCGTCAACAGGGCCCTTTCTGAAGAGCACGCCCCCCAGCCCCCTTCCTCCGTTTCCAGCTTCCTGCCCGCTCTCCCCTTTCTGGGGGGGTCCTCTGCCGGGGGTTTCCAACCCCCCCCGCGAGTGGTGGAAGCCGTGGGGCGGAGGGCCTCGTTTCCGCTGTCGTTGGTGCACTCCGGGAAGTACGTGCAGCCGAGGCTGGCGCTCATTGGGTGAGTTGCGGGGCCTTCTGCAAAGCGTGTGCGTGACGAGGATCCTTTTGCGGACCTTAAAGCGTCCGTTTGTTGGACATTCCGCTTTTCGTTTTGGTTCATTGGTTCAGTCCGGTCCTGGTTCCACAGAAAGAGATTACGAAACGCTAAAATAATGAGAAGGATAATCAAAGCCTTGCAAATTGGACAGGAGTTCCGGCGGACAGCAGACGTCCGTACTTCCGTATACTTTCGCGACCGGAATCTTTAAACCTGACCTTTGTGGGGCCGAGAGGGGCGATGAAGCTTGCTTTTATTGTATCTCGAGCCCAGAGATGTAGGTCGACGTGAAGTTACCGGCTTCTACTCAAGGGTCAACTCACGCATGATGGTAGGCGCCGAAAGCCAGCTCGATTGGCTTGCTTCATCAGTCACTTCGGCTCGAAGAGTTCCTGTGCCATCCGCCATTAGTACCTGAAGTACCCTGAGGGTCGTGTTTGCAGGGACGCCGCTCACTCGGTCCACCCGCTCGCCGGTCAGGGCGTCAACCTCGGGTTTGGCGACGCACAGGCGCTGGCCGCCGTCATCGCCAAGGGGGTGTCTACGGGGAGGGACATCGGTGAGCGTCGTTCCCGCAGAACAATCGGCTTTGCATCGTGAGACTAGCCTTTCCGCTGGTTGACTGGTTTCATGGGTAAATTTGCGTGATTTCTATGAAGCAACTCCTTCGTTGGCTGGCCGCTCATGGGCGTTGCCGAAACGTGTTGCTGGCGGCCGCACCGGATGTTCCTAACAGTTGCCTTGGACTCTCCTTATGCTATTTTGACAAGCGAGGGTTATCGCGTCCCATCCCTTACGCTCTCGACTGATCGGAAGGGTCGCCGCAAAGCGCTGCGACGATAGATTCTCGTCAAGTCAGCTTTGTTCGCTAAAGGATAAGTTTCTCATGCCCACTGCTGGCGAACCAGAGGACGACGATGCGATTTGTCGGGTCGCCTGCTTATGCCTTCCCTATCACCGCTAAATCTGGTTCGAGGGCAAGCCGGGTCTCGTGGACGAGTGCAAGTCACAACAACGGGCGGTTAAGGGTGGCAGTCTCCATTTACGTCAACGGGAAGTTCGCTATCTCGTTCCTCAGCGACCAAAAGACACAGATTGCCACCTGTCATGTCGCCCAACCTGACGTCTCCGCCCAACATGATTTCTTTTAAACTGGATTTTATGGCGAAAGCCAACCTGACGGTTATGACGTTTCCAAGGAAAACGCAGGCGAGCTGGGTGTTTTGGAAGAATGCAAACAGAGCGGGGCGCGGTCAACCTGATCTCCTCATCGAAGAGAGATTCGTTACCGTCGACTTGTCAGCAAACAGTAGACAGGGATGTCACTTGTCATGTGGCCTGATTTTTTGATTTTCTTGATTTATCGTTTTTGCCCGCAGGCGATCTGGGTCTCCTGGAAGAATAAGGAGGGGAAGCGGCGGGCGACTAAGCTGAGCATGATGGCCGCACTCTAACGTGAAAAAAACATTTCTCCTTTTCCTTTTCCGGGCGACTAGAAAGATAAGGCCACTCAGGATGTCGCCTTAATCAAGTGTCTTTGCCTGCAGGCGAGCTGGGTCTCCTGGAAGAGTATGAAGCAGAGCGGCGGGCGGCCAACTTGGGCATGATGGCCGCGCTCGACGGGCTTCAACGCCTTTTCCACGCCCAATCTGCGCCCGTCGCTCTCGCGCGCAACCTCGGATTGGACCTCGTGCAGTGGTTGACACCTGTCAAGGTGAGCCATGCTAAACTGGCGTGACGAAAGCATCGTCATTCCTCTTGAGGTTCCAGGCTCTCTTTGGACATCGAGTGTGGCTGCTAAAAGCTTGGAATCTTGCGATTTCAGCGTTGATGGCGACTTGCGTGAGCTATACCAGGACAATTGGGTCGCCGGTTCGCAACCTAGGGCTGATACTTGTGTGACGGCTGACGTCTTTCTAGGTGAGCAGAGTCGATTTGTCATGATTCAAGAGTTTGTAGGGCTGCTGTGACGGGAGCGATTCGCGTGCTTTTTATCGGACGGCAGAGTCGCCTGTTCTGCTCGCCGGCAAACTCGGGCTGGCGCTGGCGCATGGCTGGCATCCGTCAAAACAACCAAGATCTGCTGACGTGTGTTTTGCACGTCCGGTTGTGCTGACGCTAACACTAGAAAGTAGCGGCAGCTTAAGGGACGACACAGGCTACTGGTTCCCCCCTAAAGATCCAGGTCTGTGCTGCGTGGGCCAACGTTGGCCGCCGTTATGTAATGAAATCCGAGAATGCACGAGGGTTGTGAATTCTTACACGATGAGTTTCGGTTTTCCAACTGGAAGGTGCTTATGAGAAGTTTTTGCAGAGTTCTGTTGTGGATTGCAATTCGCGGGGAAGACTTGACGAGACACACTGTCAATGTTCCGTAGCATGGGTGCCGCTTGTGGCTTTCCAGTCATGTTAGGCCTTAGCAGCCATAATTAGCGGACGCAGTGAGTCGAAAGTATCTAATGGGACAAATTGTATTGATCCTGCCCACATGTCTGTCTTGCAGAAACGGATCATGTCGTATGCGATGGGAATGGAGCCCGTGCGCTGAAGCATCTGCTTCTTGGCAAGCTGCTCGGACCTCGACAATTAAACGAATAGACGTGTCGGAAACTCTACTGTAGCATGATTGAGTTTTTGAAGGGGCTTTGAACTGCATCGCCGAGACACCCGGGAGACACAGCGTGTGGCTCATGCAGTTAAAAAGAGGTGTTCGGCAAAAGCTCGAAGAGAGATCAGGCGGATGCGGATCATTTAGTCATATTCCAAGCTGCATACTCGATCGTTCAATCACATTCATTGGACTGCTCTCATGGAAAGTCAACGAGTTGATGCTGCGATGTCTTGACGCAGTCTCTGGGTGGCCCGTCTCTGAAACATACATTGTAAAGATGACACGACTCTGCCGACGGTCGGCGCTGGCATGCCATCTTCAATTATTAGGCATTATTGTCGTCCAGCTCGGTCGATAACATGATCAGGGCCTGGCCGGAAAACATGTTTGGACACTGACATGGATTGATTTGACGCATCATGTCGGTTCCAATTGAAATGAAGCCTTGCAATATTGTTCAGCTTGCGTGCTGCAAAGCTGGGTACGCAGCCCATGCACAGTAGTCAGCCTTAACAATACAATTGTTGCTTAAAATCAGTACGAGTTGTCATGCTTGAAGCACACGGAACTCAGAGACAGTCCCATATATAACCTTCCGCTCATGCATGCTCTGTCAGTTGCTGTCACCTTCCACTTTCGTCGTGGGAAAGAGTTGAAAAGGTGACCGCAAATGGAATAGAAATTAAAGTCCCAGGCTCTAGTTGATGCAGCAAGCCCCTGGCATCCATGGTCGGCAGCTTTTGACTCGGCCCTACGTACAACCAGGCGACTCAGAAGGGCAAATTGAGTTCTGGCCCGCAAAGCTGCGGATCTTCAGCTCGAGTGTCTTGAGAGCATTCACTGGTTGCATTTTTGGTCACGCAACTGCGCATTGTGCAACTGCACAACTGGCCAGACGGTAAGCTCGGTAACTTCCCGGGGTGCCAAGGCCTCTGCCAAGGCACTGCCAACGTTCCTCCTAAAGTTATGCACAAAGAGGTCGGGCGCGCTCAGGCGCGCTCATCTTTCCCTACTACTTCTAAAACATGGCCCCACGGGATTCGAAGGAGTTCGCGCGCTGTCCGCGGACCCTTCGAAGGGTTTGGCGCGGCCGCCTCGCGCCCGGCGCGGGCCGCCCACGCGGGAAGCTCCGACGCGGCTCTTCAACGTACTTCAACCAGCAGAGTACATAACTTTGCTAGTTTTCTGAACTACGTCATCGGTGACATCAGCGCTACCAGTGGTGGGGTACGGTACCCGTCGGTATGGTTGGTACCGCCAGGTTTCACTGGGTGCGGTGAAGTGCTCGGGGCAAATTCCGGCTACAATGAGGGCAAACCTGTGATCTTGGTGGGGTTAGCTGGGGGGTTAGGGTGGGTAAGGGTGCGCTCTGGCGGAACGCCTTAGGGTTTGTCAAAAACCGGGTTACTGCTCAATATTTACCTTTAGGGTTTTAGTGTGCGTTAGGAGGTTAACCCTGTGTGACATCATCAGTGACGCATATCGTAAGACTAGCAAACTTACGTACCTACGTCACTTCAACTTAGTTGTTGCGCTCGTCTCAATCAGGAGCCCGGAAGCGATTCTTGACGCATCGTTTGCGCCTGGCGGCTTTCTAAGCTGCATTCTCAGAGACTCCCTAAGCTTTGCGGATGGAAATGCTTGGGAAACGTGCATCTCCTGAGGTCGCTTCGACGTCTGATGTGGCCCTTCTTGTGAATTCCTTCACGGAGCTTGAGTTGAGCAGAGACGGCCGCAAGACCTTGACGGCAGAGGTTTTGAAGACGCTGGACGAGGAAGTGACCTTTCTAGTGCGTTCGTCGGTGTCCCGTGGCAAGTACTATGGCTGCTCATGGAGCAAGGCCATGCTGGAAGGTGAGCGCATCATCTGACGAATCACATTAGGGTGCGCGTCGACCGAAAAGCTGCAAAACTTACGCTTTCCAGACTTCTTAGCCAATCGGATGACTTTTCAGATCCACGTGGTAACCCAAGGTACATACCAGAGGAGTAATATGGCTTGGAAAGTTATCGTACCTCTTACCTATCGGTACTACAAAGGCAACACTGGAGGCCAAGTGGGATTTCGGTCGACGCGCAACCTTAGTGACCGCCCGAGTGTTTGTTCTGTACCCACTGGCACAAGGTGTTTGCAGCTCAAGACATTACGTCGTACAAATAAGTACTCGAAGATGTTGAGAAAGCAGTCTGTGTTTGCAGCATTAGATCCGTCCGTGTGGCCCCTGCTGGACGTACACAAGGCGTTTCGAGCAAGTAGGGTGAGTCCGAAAGGTTGCTTATCAGTGCACAGGCTCTTGAGACGTCAACATCAGTGTTTGATAGAAACAAGGAAGCGTGGAGGTGCCCTCCGCTCAGTGCTCTGCTTTTGCTGTGGCTGAGGCTAGTGTGCTATTGGCCTTTCTAAGATTGTACATGGTATCCCACACCCTGCTTCTTCATGATAAGGTCAGTGTGCGGCCCAGTGAGTGGAGCCGTCCTCTATGCCTACGATTGGACAGGCGGCACTATCCATCGGGGCTCCTCAGCAAGTATTCATTGTGACTTGTCGGCTTAGTACGCCTGGACTTGTGTAAATTTCTGCCTTCAGATCAAGCCCATTGCAGAGCAGGGGCAAGAAGCCCTTCCTCTGACTAGGCGTGTAATTGATGGCGAGTCAAGCAAAGAGGCAAGTCCTTGTCATCCTGAGTGTATGCAACGAACTAGGTTTCAATCGTGGGGTGTTCGCTTGTATGGCCGGTCAGATATACGTGAGAGAGTGCGGAGGATTGCGTTTGAAGTCCTCAAAAAAGGGACCTTCCACTAAGGCCTACGTTTGTGCAAGTCATTGCTGTGCAAGTGCCTGATGGCGATCCCCTGATGCATCATGCAACTTCAAGCCTTAAGTGAAGACCGACAAGCACCCAGGCCGCATGGCTTGGAAGAGACCGGGGAGAAGAGATGGTAGCTTCATTCTCTTCAGGTTCTTGCCAACGTCGTTGTCCTTGCGCCGCTCCTAGCCCTTGACGACGTTGAAATTGCATTGCTCCATCAAGGAGTCTTGGGAAAGACTCGGGGCAGCCCCATGGGCCCTACAGACTTCATGGAAGCAACAACCTCCCAGCTCATACATGTCGAACTCGTAGCGAGCGCCCTGAAGGTAAGGTGCCTTCAACAGTCATGCTACATTGCAGCTCTATCGACTTGGCAGGTTGAACCCCTTTGCCGCAAGCCTGAAGATTTTTCTCTGAGCCCCTCTTCCTATGATTGTTGGTCGCATCATTGTCGGTTGACGCCTTGACAAGCTCGACGGGTCAAGGTTGTGTGCATGGTTATAGTAGCACCAGATGCTGTTACTTATAAGCATAGCGATGACACCCCTAGCTGGTCAGCCCAGAGGCCCAGAGATGCTCTCTGTGCGAGCACCAAGAGTACGTTGACCGCACGTCTGGATAGTCGATCTCAGACTGCTTATGTTAGATGATTCGGAATGAGTTGCACGAGAGACCGGTTGAATTTGAGCGTCATTTCTTGCTGTGGCAGATTGAAGGCATGAGAGAAGCCATCGATGTGGTCCTCACATTGAGGGGGGCGTATGCGCCAAAGAAGCGACGTCAAGAGATGTCTTAGAAAAGCATGGGGTAGTAAGGAGAGCTGGAGGTGAGACAGAGGCAGCACTGTGTGGTGATTTGTGGGAACATAATCATTATTATGTTTGCTCAGCAAAACCGGGTGCCAGAGCTGTTGTACAATAGCAACCCGGTGCCTGCGACGGTGAGGTCACCGCGATACTCCGCGCCGGTGCCAATGATGAGGATCACGAGTTATGGTTGTATTCATGCTAATAACTTCTCTTCATCGGACTTATAACACGATCGTCGAATCCGGCCATGCATTTGCACATGTTTGCTATTTGTTGATGACAGTTCAAAAACTCGTGCAATATGATGTGCACGCGGGTGACCAGGGCTGTCACGGCCGGCCGGTCGATCATTGAAGGGAGCGCCTATCAAACCCTGTGAGAGCTGCCACAAAGCATCATATGACTAGCTTCATGTGCCGCGTCATTGCTAGAGACGATTGATGCAAGAGGCGATTGCAAGGGAACTTATGCAAAGCCTGGCGTCCAACTCACGTCTGTAGAACTTCAGCGGGCCCGACTTGCCTTTCGGATTTAAATCAGAGGCACTCTCGCTTTTCCAGCCGCCGACGTGCCCATGCCTATATTGCAGCGAATCCAAGCAAGAGTCACAAGTCCCAACTGAAATCAAACCAACACGAGCCTGTCCATGATTCGGCAACATCGGGAATACATTTTCATAAGAGCGGTCAGGCTCAGCTTTTCTTTGCAGACGTCGGACGACCATGTCAAACCCCAAGCGTATGAAGCAAGAGACCACGTGTTGCATTTGGAAAGGGCCGCAGCTCAATCTGGTTAACGACTGCGTCATAGGTCCCACGGCATACTCTCTGGCTTCTCCTCTCCTCGGTCGTCCTCCGCCGCAGGCAAGCCCCCGTCTTCTACGCCAAAATCAAACGCATTGTCATTTAGTTCCGCTCCTTCTAGCCCCGTAAACGAAAACATGCCCCCGTTCCCTTCTAGTCCGTCATCCAGACCGTTGCCTTCGCCGTCTCCCTTGCCTTCTAATCCAACCCCGACCTCTCGACCAGTTCCCTCCCCTTGCCCACCGTCGAGTATGCCATCCCCTCCTAAGCTTTCCATCAACTCCCGCTCAAAGTCTGCGTCCGTCGCCTCGGGCTCTTGGCCAGGTGACGTCAGCAAGTCATCGAGCGAGTCACGGTCGGCGTCCAGATCCGCCGCCGCATCCTGGGTTTCGCCTAAACCCTTTTCCAAACCCCCCAAACCCGAAGCCGCGACTTCGTCGGCCCCGCCATTGGCCCGCGGACCCTCTACCGCCTGGCTTTCCGGATCGACTCTGACCCGCTTCGAGTCGCTTTCTAATCCGTCCCCCGACGCCTCTTTATCCTTCTTCTTGTGCTTCTTGCTCTTCTTTTCTTTTAGCTTCTCCTTTTCTCCCGCCTTCTCTTCGTCCTTCTTTCTCTCTTTGTCCTTCGATTTGTGCTTTTTCTTGCTGCTCTTTTCTCGCTTCCCGTCTTCCTTGTCCTTGTCCCGATCCCTATGCTTCTTCTTTTTCTTTTTCTTTTTCTTCTTCTGTTCCTCTGCGTCTCCTGCAAGAAACCAAGCGCTCCGTCAGGTTTCGATTTCTCAAACTCTACACAACAATCCGGGGACGCAAAAAAGGGCGAGCCCAGTCAAAGTAACTCTTTTACACCGGAATTTCAAATCGATGATCAGTCGAGCTTCTACCAACGCGTTATTGGCCTACAGACATCCAAACCGCCTACAGATATCCAAACCGCTAACCGCTTGCGCCTCCGTGCTTAGTGAGATGTAACGACTGGACGCCCCCGGGGGGATCGTATCCACTCTTTATCGACATCTTCAATAGTCGAGCTTCAACCATTCAATCGGACTTTGAATGCCAACTCAACCTGGGGGCCACTTATGTTACTCTCGCCAATTTCAACACGCCCAGTAGACGGTCCGAATCCTGAGGAAGGCTCCTCTGACAACAGGTTTCCAACCGTGCAGGCTTTTGGAAACCAGTCCACCCCCTCTTTGTTAAAGCTCACCGTCCGCGCCTTCTTCCTCCTCCTCTTCGTCTTCCAGCACCTCCTCCACCTCCATGTCTCGCACCCCCCCTCCCTGGAGGATGCGCTCCAGCTCCTTTTCGACCCGGGCGACTTGCTCCGGCTGGAAAGAGGCGATCATTCGTCAGACCAATACGAGTAACAAACTGTCAATTCTCAATTGTTCAATGTTTCTGTCAATTCTCAATTGTTCAATGTTTCTTGACCCTAGGGATAATGGTAAGGCAAGCATGCACAGAAGAAGGCAACAACAAAGGACTGGGTGCTTCAGACAAGACGTGGTGGTTCAGACACCTTCAGAAAGCCAGGATTGACCTAATCTGCAGAATCGTGGGCCCTGATCTAGGAGAACAATCCAGCCGGTCGCTGTCCAATCGCCAATTCGTCGCGATATATAACCAGATATATGTTTGGGGACAGTAGACTCCTCAGACAGGGCAACGTGTTTGTAGGTGACTTTTACTTGCTTATCAGGGCAAGCATGTTAAGCATCCCAAACTGGCAGTATCTGCTCGCTCAAGAGCCGGCCTCAATCTCCCCACTCGTTCAACAAGGAACTTCGTGTGTCCACTCACATCATATTCAGGCTCACTCCGGAAGCGCTGCCTGCGCGCCTCCCGCATCGGCGGCGTCAAGCCATGGCGGTACTCCGGCCCCTCTGGCTTCTCCGCCCCCTCCTCTGTGACCAAGATCAACTGCATTACAGATGAGTCTTTCAGAACCGCATTTGTGGCACAGGCCACCGAAGTGCATTCCCGCTGGCTGTCACAAGAAGAGCTGAAATCATTTGAAGACGCTCTGCTCTTGGAGACATACGAATGAGCCCCCACAGAGTTTTGGCTCTTGCTGTGATGGTTGCATGGCAATGCTGTTTGAATGTCGATTCAAATCCTGCACAGAGTTGCAGTGAATGCCTGACCTGTCCTATGTCAGCACTCTTGACCAGGTGATTGTCGTCATATGTCTTCCAGGACTCCACCACCCCAGGGAGGTCCAGCAGCGAGGCGGGCAGCGTTCGGCCCCCCACCGTGAAAGTGCCAGACCGACCATCCTCTGCAGTCGTTTGAAAAGGCATGAGAAGATTGGCAGCAAGCGAATGAGAAACAATGTCTCAGTTGGAGTGCCAATTGTCCAGTTGGACTTTGTAAGGTGACTTCACAAACGAGCTTGCTGAGGGAAGACTTGGCATCAGGTGCCATTATCAGCACTGAAACTCATGTGTAATCAACGATTTCAATTTAGGTTTGAGCCCGGTTTGAGGCTCCGCTCTTGCGCCAGCTTATGTTCAAATGCTGATAGACCCATGTGATCCTCGAATCAATGCAAATGCAATGCAATCATGTGCATGAATAGTCCCCATCATCAACTTAAATGTTTTCTTGTGACACACAAGGTACAACTTTCGAGTAGCCAGCTTGAATAATCTGCTTCACCCATATATCAATCTCCAGAATGCTGGTGTACTCAAAGAAGCTCACAAACAAGCGCACAAGTCAATATGCACGCGAAGAGTCGCCATATATGCGCTGGTCACCTGAGAAAGCGAGGTCAATTGGAAGGTCAGCAGACGCAATCTGCTTGCTGAGGAGCTGGTTCAGCTGCTCCGCAATGTCCTGTGGCACCCGTAGAATGAACTGCTCCTCCACAGCCATCGCTGCTGCCTAATTTGCGGTGCGCATCAACTCCTTCGTCAAGTCTGGTGCACGATTATCTGCCACCCCAACCCCAAAAGCCCGAGCACGCCTAAGCAACAGCACAACACCTGCGGGCTGCGCCCATCTTTTCCCCATGTACTACTAAAGTCCTAGCTTGCAATGCAAATTCAACGCCAATTTCACTGCTGAAACTTGAAAGCTCGCTGAAAGATGTAGACTATTATCGAATAGGCTTAGGTACGATAAAAGTGGTGAATGATTCGATAAGACTCTTCGAATAATAATTTAGACTGTAGG